GCTCCCTGAGGACAGGAGGATATTTCAGTGTTGCTAGCCATTATTCATTTGCAATGCACAGCCTCCCTCTAGCTGTTGAGTGTATTACCACAGCATGCCCTAGCCCCACTACTTAAAGAGAGCCTGTGGCTAGCCTTAAATCTGTCTCCCAAGCGGCAACATGACATGCAATCCAGAGCGCCATCAGACTAGCCCTGAAGACAGTCTTAAACATGAAAGCAAGTGTGGCAACTGAAAAGTCCTAAGAATCTTTGAATATGCACAGTGTGTCAAGGGGGTTTGTAAAATATGCTATCAAATCCTTTCCTTGAGTAAAGAACTCTTTAAACATAAGCTACAGCTCAATAATGTGTCTCCTTAGATGCTGCGGAGTCAATCTATATATTTCTTTAAGATTTAACAAGGAAAAGAGAACGTCAACATTAAAAAAAAAATTGGATTAGGCAGGTATCTCCAAGAAAGAGTATATATACTGAGACGAATGTCAGTGCATCGTGAGGAGGATTCCATGATGAGCCTAAATGCTGCCACATACTGTAAATTAAGTGGTGAGTGTGTATACAGTATATGTAGCTATGTCCTCTAGTGGCTAGAATCAGAATTGCGCAACTGTGTGTTATTGGCTCTATACTGTTAATAGGGATTCTCCGCTAGCTCAAGTGTTTGTCCCCTCCTCATACCCATCTAGGGTGACAATTCTAGGGGAGGCATGTGATAGGAATGAGAGAGAAAATAATCCCGATAATTAAACATGCTCAGAAGATTCTCAGCATGTTAGGGTTGTACAGCATCAGGCCACCTCCTTGCTTGAACTGATTTTGTCCCTACTTAAGTTAATTTATGACTGCTTTGTTAAAGTAATTTCCCTGGTGGAAAATAAGGTAGGAATGCTCTATCACAGTGCTTGTTCTCTCCTTCCTCCAGGTTACCATTTAAGAATAGTTACAGTGGGCCACACAAGTGCAGATGAAAGTACCACTGTTCTTAAACACAATCTAACTTACACTTTCCAAACTGCAAAAATCATGGTGTGATTTTTTTAAGCAGAAATATGCAGCAAAAGAGAACATAAAGTGTTGAGAAATAAGAAACTGGCACTGTTAAAATAATCTTGGCAAGCATAAATTATAGCTCCAGTGATGTAGAATACATGTGTGTGGATGTTATTAGGCGGTTGCTATGAGATGCCGGATCTCCTCCATAGCTAGAAAGAAGTTCAGAGTTAGCATATAGAAGAGATTGGCCCTTTCCATTAAAATCTGCATGAAATATGTCTCTGGTTTGCTTACCACCATCCACTAAGTAGCATGGACTGAGTTACAGCTGAAAAGCTGCCCAGTTACTTAAATACACATAAGTATTAAAAAAAACCAAAAAAAACAAACTTATGAAAAGAATTTAAGGGGCAATAGTGCCAAACTCAAAACACTGAAAGCCAGGAAATACACAGCGAAGTTATATCGCTACATATATAGTTTTCCACATACACCCACCCACGCTAATAGTACATGAGCCCTATTCTAGTGTAGCCAAGCACTCTAGCATGTGAGCTAGGAAACATACTCTGCTTGTCTGGGTCTCAAATAGCAGTGATCAATCCCATCAAGACAGGGATCTGGCCGAGGATGTTTGAGGAGAACACAGATGTTCTCGCCACTCTAACTTTTGAGTTTCCCTTTCCTGGGGAGAAGTCTGGAAGTTTGGGGTTCTTGCACAAGCATCTCAAAGCCTTTGTGGAAGAAGTCTGCCAGAAGGATTTGTAAATAGGATGGGAAAAGTTTGCAGCAAAACTTCAGTCATTCTTTCAGTATGGCTTACAAATGGAGTACATCCTTCAGTCATGGACTAGTTACTTCAACACGTGCTGAGCTAGGATACGTCTAGCCTGCAATCAGTAGGTGTGACTGCAGCTCAAGCTGACCTACCCATGCTAGCCTTTATCCAACTAGCTCAGGTCCTGGGACAGTAAAGCCAGGGCAGTGAGAGTTTCATCAGGGGTTAGCCACACGAGGCATTATCCAGGGTTCTGGGTTGGTTTGTACAACCCATGCTGAAGCTCATGCTGCCATGTCTTCACTGCACCAGTACCTGAGCTCGCAAGATTAAAGCTAGATCCAGTATGTCAGCTTGAGCACCAATAGCACCTAGTGATGTAAGGCAAGCCTCTGTTTTCTGTAGCCACCCACAGAACCCATATATGAATTAGTCCCACCCCATAAATAAGCCTCCCATGTTGTGAATTTTTAAGGTGCTCTGGATAAAGCACTCGAACGCCCTTATTCAGCCCTCTGTCAGTGTGCTTAGCCAGTCTGTTCATCTAGGGGAGGTTCTTCTCCCCAGCCCTAATTTTAGGGATCCTTTGAGCTATTTGGCCTGGGACAGTACACAGGCATTACGGTCCAACTGCTTGTTTCAACACCAGTTGCTTGGGTGTTGCTGTCAAAAAAAGAGCCAGGTCTGACAATTTTCCATATTTTACTGTGTAACCTAGATAAGATGTGACCTTCGTATAGGTTATCGCCACTGTCTGAGGCAGAACACCTTTTACTGTAAATCTTAGGGACGTTTCACTCACCATTAGATCTGCACAACCTATTTTCTGAAGTAGAGGTGTCCAAATTCTTCCCTCTACCCTGTCCAAAAGTTATTTTGGCCCAATCCTCAGCTGTGCTTCAGCTCCATCAGTCACAGCCGAGAAGGAGGAGAGCAGGTGGGGCCTTTTTATGGCTCTACATAGATGAAAATGTCACCTTTTGGCTTAAAACTGATTGTTGAGGCCACTAATGCTGCATGTCTGGAATGTTCCCAGCTGCTGATGTATTGGAGAGGTGCCGAGCTAGCTCTGGTTAGCCTTCAGTAGGCTTCAGACTCAAGAGAGATAATTCTCCAATAGTCTCAAAGAATCAGAGGTACAAGATAAGTAAGATTTCTTTAGCCTCGATTTCCCCCATCTATAGAGTAGGGAAGGCTAAGGTTACACCGTGAATCAATGGCAAAGGTTAGCATATAGAATCCAGATCTCCAGATTCTCACGCTGTCTCCATTAATTAGAGCATTTTTTCAGCAAAACCCGCTTCCACTCCCTAAAAAACACAAGATTGATTTGATGTGCCCCTATATAGTGGGGCACCCAAGGTTCTGCTTCATTGCATTGGTTTGAAGGAAGGGCCATAATTCTTCTCACTTCCACACTTCAGTTCCCAGGCTATGAAATGACAATCCTCAGTGTGCCAACTGCTGGGGGCTGTTCCCTATCCTGGGAAACCATATCACATCCTCAGCCAGAGCAAAGGGAGAGCAGCATTTTTCACTGCACTGTAGGATTGAGGACCCCGAGTGCCGATAACAGCTTGTCTTTACTTAAAAATTGTACTGCTTTAATTATACCAGCATAGTTATGCTAGTATAATCCCCTAAAATGGATGCAGTTATACTGGTAAAAAGAAGTTTAGAGCAGTCTAATTTATTCCCCATACAAGAGGAGAAATAAACTATAGTGATATAAAGGACCTTTATACTGGTGTAACTGCATCCAAGCCTTGGGGTGTACCAGTATAATTATACCCATTTAAAAAACAAAATCACACTCCTAATTGTGTGTGTGTGTGTCTCCCCGGGAAAAAGGGGGGGTGGGTGAGAAAGCCTGGATTTGTGCTGGACATGGCCCACCTTGATTACCATGCACATTGTAGGGAGAGTGGTCACTTTGGATGAGCTATTACCAGCAGGAGAGTGAGTTTGTGTGTGTATGGGGGTGGGGGGGTGAGAAAACCTGGATTTGTGCAGGAAATGGCCCACCTTGATTATCATGCACATTGTGTAGAGAGTTGTCACTTTGGATGGGCTATTACCAGCAGGAGAGTGAGTTTGTGTGTGGGGGGGTGGAGGGTGAGAAAACCTGGATTTGTGCTGGAAATGGCCCAACTTGATGATCACTTTAGATAAGCTATTACCAGCAGGACAGTGGGGTGGGAGGAGGTATTGTTTCATGATCTCTGTGTGTATATAAAGTCTGCTGCAGTTTCCACGGTATGCATCCGATGAAGTGAGCTGTGGCTCACGAAAGCTCATGCTCAAATAAATTGGTTAGTCTCTAAGGTGCCACAAGTACTCCTTTTCTTTTTACTCCTAATTGAAATAGTTATACCACTGCCAATGCAAAATCTAGGAGCAGACCACACTTAAGCATTCTATAGTTTGCTGGCATTTTGTAATACATGTGTAAAGACTCCCCTCCACTTTGTTAATATGAACTGTTCCAATTCTTTCCATGGAAAGAATTTCACAGAAATATACTCGGTAAATAATAACAAGGAGTCCTTGTGGCACCTTAGAGACTAACAAATTTATTTGGGCATAAGTTTTCATGGGCTAGAACCCACTCCACGCATCTGATGAAAGCTTAGGTCCAGATAAATTTCTTCGTCTCTAAGGTGCCACAAGGACTCCTCGTTGTTTTTGCTGATACAGACTAACAGGGCCACCATTCTGAAACTTGGTAAATAATGGGTCTCCATGAACAGAAGAGCAAGAAATAAATCAATCAATAAAAACAACCGGAACTGTTCCCAGGACCAAGAGTTGGGAAAAGAGGGAGATATCTTGGGGCCCTTGTTTAAAAAATCCTGACATCTCTATGGCCCTTCTTTTATTCAAGGGTGCCTTTTCATCGCTTACAACAGCCTCCCATACTGACAGAGCTCTTCAGCCTGCTAAAATAACGTTACCCACATCAGTATCTCTTACTAAAGGCACTGGAATGACCATCAATGCCTAGCTGTTGCCTAACTGCCCATTCACGTAGGGGACATGGATTCTAACTCATTAGGCAGTGCCAGCTGCCAGTGCATAAACTGCGAATGACACAGACAATATACGCCGTGTGTCAGAATCTACTTAGCCTTAGGAACCCAAGGTGCTGCTGCTCGTTCAGGTTGTGGCACTACAAGTTAAAAGGGACACTGTCCATATATATATAATGTTTTAAAAATAAAACTTACCCTTGTTCCCAATAACCCAGTGGAAACTTGACACTGAAACATGCCTGCACATTCAACAGACCCTCTTGCACGGATGCAACTCGCCGCTCTTGCTGGCTGCAGCCATCATCTGAGCCGCAGGCTTCCTGGTTCCCGTGCACTGCTCGTGATGACATCAGAGGCTCATGCACTCTTCCCCTCCCGCTCTTTAAAGGAGCAATGTTCAGTCAACATCGACAGGGCGGACCCACCTGCTGCTTTGCCGTGCGTAGCAAGGGCTTTCTGGTACAGCAAGAGTCCTAAATTATGTGTGGAGAAAGCCGTCCAGGGCTTCAGGTTAGAAGCCAAATAATCTGCATGATGGTGTATTTTCAGTTCAAAGATTCAGAGAACTTTGGATCAGATGTGTGTGTGTTTCGAGGATACCAATCTGAATTAAACACGGGAGACAAAAGTAAAAGATATAATAGCCATTGGTTTCCACCAGTTTTCCAGTAGCATAGGTCTTTTGCACAGAAAAATGATTGAAATATCGGGCAGTCTGTTAAACTTCCAAGATCCCAAACATTTGGGAACTTCTTAGTCACTTTGTGAATTAAATTCAGCAGAAGTTTATATCTCCATGCCTCACTCAGATACTTTGAAATACACTGAGGAGCCAAACCTTTATTTATTCTGTAATATTTGGTGTTACATTTATAGGTGTATTGGCAAAATAACCAGCCTTTCCCTTACACGGGACCAGAATGCACCAGAACCAATATGACCACCGCTCCCACCACCATCACCATCATCAACGGTTGTCAACAGCCCCATATTACAAGGGATGTCCCTTATTTAAATAGAAAATTACCTGTCCCGTGCTTCACCTCTGTACAACAAAATTGGGAGTTGCAAAAAGCAGCATGAAATACCCCTGGCAAATGTAGGGGAGTACTGCTTATTATTATTAATAATAATCATCATCATGATGGGGTGTATTCCCTTATCTTCGAAATACAACATTGAAACCCTATCTCCCTCCCACCCACCCATCTACACCATCACTGCCACCGCACCTACACAGACAGGGGAAACCAGCATATGCAGAACCCCATTGAGGTCTGTGCCGCCCCCAACAGGCTGTAGAGCACAGTGCGGGCTCCCTGCTCTTAATATGCTGGGTAGTGGATTTGGGATAGAGTGGTTTGGAGCCAATGTATCTATGACTGCAGATTCATTGGACGTAGTAACCCCTTTCCTCTCCATGTAGATAGAGTAGCTGTGAAGTCTGCTACAGACCTGATGTTCCAGTAGCATCTGCACGCCCCGCCCACTCTCCACCCCAGGCCCTCCGGACCTTTTCATCAGGCCCCTACCCCATGGACACAACCGGCCTCCCCGCCCCTTCTCCGTGAGCCGGCTGCACGACTTGCAGCCGGTTCGTTTCCAGACCGCGCCAAAGAAATACCTATACATACTCATGCTCCACACCCTTTACTTCCTCACCCTCGCGTCCCGCCCTGACACAAAGTGGCAGAACCTCCTGCCACCTCTAGAGGGTGAGGAGCCCCCGGTGGGCCAGCCTATACTCCACCCCGGTCCCGGGGCCCACTGGGGATATCAGCTGGCCTCCTTCATGGGGCCGTGAGCCCGGGTGTGTACTTGGCGCGGTTTTCCCGTCCCGGACACCTGCCCCTTCTGTGGCATGAGGGAGACTCTGGCGCACGTTTACTTGGAGTGCGCCAGGTTGCAGCCCCTATTCCGGTTCCTCACGAATATTCTGTTACGTTTCTGGCTGCACTTTTCCCCTCATCTCCTTCTCTATGCACTTTCTATCCGTGGCCCCACAAAGTCACGGGACCTCCTCGTCAACCTCCTCCCTGGCTAAAACGGCCACCTATTAAACCGGGGAGAGGAGGTTGGCCGATGGAGACTCTTGTGACTGTGGGGCCTGTTTCTGACCCTCTGTCCGTTCATGTATCCAGGCGGAGTTCTTCTTGGCAGCGTCCACTGGCTCCCTTGACGCCTTTGAGGAGCAGTGGGCGCTGTCCAGGGTTCTCTGCTCGGTGTCCCCGTCAGGCTCCCTTCTTTTAACCCTTTGACCGCACTCCTGTCCCTGTTATTTCATTAGTTGTCCCACGGAATCATTTGGTTTCCAGGTCCTGTGGATCCTCCCCATAGGCTGGGGGTGTGGGTCTCTTCCCGGAACCCAATAGGTACACTGAAACTGCTCTGTAGCCTTGTGGGAGGAATTTGAACTCTCCAAAGCCTATGACCTCCTTAGCATGCAGCCCATTTACTTGGGGTGTGGGTATTGTTGGGATCAGGATATGACCCATTATATTTGTAAAGTGCTCTGATGATAGTGATTTTACAATAATCTTTCTACACTGCAATACGGAAAATATGAGTTCATAATGCAAATTATTTCACTCCTAAAGTGACTTATTAATCAAGGTTTATGGGCATTATTTATGGCTTAACTATTATCTCCAGGAAATTATTGTTGAGTATTGGGAGAGATCATTCTTATCATAAACAACATTAAATGTCTAAAAGGAATAGCTTTGATTTCTGAAATGATTGCACATCATAACTGTACTAATATAACTGCCAATGAATATCCCATCTCAAATTGCAAATATTTAGGTCAAGAGATTTTTTTTATGAATAAATATCAAGGGATTAGGCTAAAGAAGTTAAACAAGGTTATACATTTTAACCAAACAAGATCCCGAGAAGTAAAAGGTCACAATTTCAGCCTGAAATATGTTACAGTTGTTGAAGTTATTAAAAAGATCCTGGTCACTGAATTTTGTCAAATCATCAACAAATGATGAAATAATTAGGGATGAAATCTCAGCAGACAGCATCTCTTATCCCTTGGCTATAATGTTTGAAGTTGGGATATGCAGCCCCAGCCACATCCTCGAGTCACAGAAACAGGCTAATGTAATATTCAATTTGAAGACAAAGTTGGGTATGCCATACATATTTATAAAAAAGTAGTTTATTTCCAGAGCTCCTAAGAACTAGTAGAAACAAATCAGCTAACAGATTACCGAAATAGCTAATCAAATATTATTCCTGAACCAGTCTGGTTGTAGGAAACGTCATAATATGGTTACAGATGTGACTGATGTGCTGAATGATGTTTAAGCATCTCTAGAGAGGGAGGTGGGTCACAGATGCAAGTTTATAATTAGCCAAAGACTTCTCTGTGATAGTTATTACTCCATTCATTATATTCCCTCAGCACTGATAGATTCTCTTGCACTGTCAGTGATTTCCCAGTAATCTGTGACTTTGTGTAGTTATTTTGAACTTGAAGTACTGAAAGCAGAGTTCCTAATTTGAATACCGGGGCTTCATTCTGTTTCAGTTCCAATGGGGTAACTCATGCTATACTCCAGAATAATGCAGCAGATTTTGGTCTCCAGTGTCATAAGAGCAATACATGTTAAAGGTACACTGTTTGCAACTGTTAATCAAGTAAACCAAGTAAAAAAATTCAATAAAACAAATAATCTCCCGTAGTTTTTAAGCCTCAGTTGTCATTGAGTCCTACTAACTAGAAAAACTGTACACATGTGGAGGGAAACAGCCATGTATTAAATTGTACACGGTAAGGGCCTGCCCACACACAGAAGTTGTACTGGTTTAACTTAAATCTTTTTTTTTTTTTTAATTGTTAAACCAGTGCAAATCTCTGTGTGGACACACACATTCATTTAAAACTGGTTATATCAGCTTAGCTTGCACCTGTAAATGTACAGATACTCATTTATTAAGGGATTCTATAGATATTTTACCCACCACTGACAGACAGCTACCTCTGGGACAAAATGAAGCAGCTGTTTAACATTTCACAGGCAATACTACACTACAATTTAGGACAGCAAGGTTAGGACTCTCTGCTTTCCTATATAATTATGGAGTGGTTCAGTCTCCAGTGTCTGTTGACTTCCCATTTTCCTGCTGACTCTGTATGCAAATAGGGATTCCATTGTGTTGGCTTACAATGCTTAATCTACATTTGAAAAGAGATGCACATCTTACATCGTGTCTGGAAGAAATCTGTTTTTCTTTTATGGTTGTTGACAGACTAAAACTTTTCAATACATATACACAACTCTTTGTATATCATCTGTACATACATCTTACAACAATATTCCTAACCAGTATGACAGTGGCTTTCACTTAAGACTTATATGATAGTCTTTGTGGATATATACTATGTGCTAGGTGTAGTGAGTTTGTCAGACCTGTTAGGAGTTGCTGTAACAGAACAGCAGACCTAAGCCAGCTGGCACCAGTAGGCCTCTCTGTCACAGTCTGTATGTGTATTGATGATCTGAGCCTGAATAAAAGGATGATCCCTGATCAGCACACTATGAGTGAATGAGGCCCTTGATTGTTTGTTGGGAAGCAAATGGTTTTCCGTTCTTGATCTCCAGAGCAAGCACTATCAAATCCCTCTGGGAGAATAGGACAAAGAGAGGACTTCTTTCACCTGCCAGTTTGAGAAGATGCTACAGGGAATCAAAAACAATAACAACCTTCCAGAAGTTAATAGAGAGGGTGGTTGGAAATATGAACCTTTTCAAAGACCCTGGAGGTCTTTCCAAAACATATTTGTTGAAGGTCTTTGATCATTTGCAAGCCTGTGTTTGAAACTTTCACTGGATATGTGTATCTCCTGCCAGACTTCAGTCAAGTATGTGGAGCACATTGTGTCGAAACACAGAATATCACTAGACCCTGACAAGATCAGTGCTTTAACTACTAGGCCTCAAACTTACAATTTAGAGAGCCTACAATCCTTTCTAGGATTCTGTGGATACTACTGCAAGTTTGTAAAGGACTACTCTTTGATTGTGAAACCCCTGCATACCCTCACATAGGGCTATTCCCTTACCAGAACTAAAAGGACTGGCAAGAAGATACTTAAAGAAAAAAATTATTTTAAGGAGACAGAACCTTTTGAACCTGTATGGGACGCAAATTTGAGGAGGCATTCCAACATATCATCCAATGCCTACCATGGGCCCCAGTACAAGCCTATCCTGACTATGAAACCCTGCACCTTGCATACAGATGCTAGCCTTACTGGTCTATGAGCAGTTCTTTATCAAAAACATAATGGAGAGTTGAGACTCATTGCCTGCAAGTAGAAGCATGAGGGGAAGGAGAAA